TATTCCACAGCAGGGCGCAAACTACCACCACCACGCCGACCTTGAAGACATTGACCGCTGGCTCGAAGGTACACATTCCACCTCTAAATTTGCCGTTGATAAAAGCGTTTCTGGTGCATTTTGATGCTGTTGCTGACTTGATGGTACAGGAGAAGACCCTAGATGGCGAGCCGCTGAAAGGTAGGGTAACCCCTTCGGTTCTCTAGGCCTAGAGTACTCATAGAATGGTTTTACCATGAATTTTTTGCTGGGGACCGTGTCTAGAACGATCCTGGAAATGCGCGATGCAATTAATCGGGAGGCTGAGGAGAATGGCTCGGCGGACATTGAGCAGAACCCCGAGGGCCAAGAGCTGGATATGGCAGCATTGGAGGAGTCCCAGGCGGCGCTTGCTGACCACGTTGCATTGTGAGTAGACGCTTTCATTCCATGTTGTATCTTGGGCGACTTGCTGACACCCATTTGGTAGCGTTTTTGCGGCCTATGGGGTAAACACCAATGAGTAAAGCTTGGGTGCCTCGAAATTATATCTTGTACTTCATCCAAGTGTTCGATCAATCTATCAAAGTAATTTCATCCAGTATATGTGAATATATGGCATATGGGGCTTGTTGGAAGGTGCTTGCTCGAGATGTACTGAGGCTGGGAACATGGTTTTGGGTGTCGCCGTCTCCAGTAGCGTTCGCCATAAAATGATATAAGATTAAGTTCGAGAAAATAGAAAATAAAGTCTTACTTTGAGAGGATGTTCCTTGGGAATGTGCATTATGCACAAAACATGCAGAGGGGATCTAAGGAATAAAAATGAGAGAAAAAAAGAGGCAGGAGGTGGTAAAACGTTAGGGTATAATGATCTGAAGGAAGAAGAAAACAAGGTGATGAAGAGCTCAGGTCCAAGGAGTTGACGGAAAAGACACGACCGTGAGGGGAGTGGAAAATCAGAGGGGTCACTGTGACTGTACGCCACCTGCCGTTCTTGGATGGAATTACTATTTCCGTCAAGAACTGTTTCTGTCAGTTCTGCGTGATTGGCTTGTTAACGTTGCGCCTACAATTATCATTTAAATATCTGAATGAACCATTCAATTTCGCCAAATCAGGTCTGCCATCCATTATTTCAAAGACACTGGTCGTCGGCGATGGTTGTACTGACGCACGAACGCGCTGGCAGACGATTTAGGTCGACGAATCCCCTGCGTGTTCTTCTCGAACTCTGAAAGTGTAGTGGCAAGGCCATTAATGTTGCCAGGCTGGAGGTTGAGGTCAGTGCCTGTTCGACTGAAGTGATCTGGTTCGGTCACGTGCTGCCTCACCCCTTCAGGTGAAAGCGAATAGTTCGAGCGATGAGATCTAGGTAGAGTTGTCTACAGCTAACATACTAAAGAAATAATGTGATACGACCGATAAGTGGTTGGCCCTGCGCACTGAAATACTGTCTGGGTTTGCCAGCGATAGGGTTGCTGGGAAAGAAAGTATTTTACAATCCATTTATTCACTGTCGATGTGCGTTAAAAGTGTCCCATGATGTATCCTTATCTCACCTTCGCCACAGGTGGTTACAAGGCTCTTTGCTACTTGAACCCGACGTCCCCTACCGCATATTGACACCACCAAGGTCCGAATGTCCCATAGAGACATAATCGGGTTTCAGTATAATTGATGGTCTACAAACCTGAGCTTAAGTGTACCCTCATCTTTCCAATTGCCATGTTCGTATGAGGGCGGCGGTTCCAGAGGAAATATGGACGGGAGTTCCACCTGCAAAGTCGAGACCACCGAGGATGAACGACGTTTGGCGACCAGCCGTTTTAGCAGGTGATGGGGTCGTAGACGGGGGTGGGAACGATGATACGACATGCCAATCCCTGAACCACCACCAAATAGTGGCTTCATCTCTGCAAGTGACTGATGGTACATGACAGAGAGCAAAGCTCAAGTTGTCTCGCGAGTGATCGCTCTTACGACACGACTCGGTACGAGTACCCCCAACTTCAATAGTATCTCAAGAGATATTCGAGCTATCATGGGTCTTGGTGAACTTAGTGTCGTAATTGGATGCAACGACGCCTTCGAAGCGAGCAAATCTATCTCCTAGGGGGTTTAGCAAATACGGGATGAGACTAGTAAGTTCAGACAACTTTTTGCTATACGCCTCTTCATTTAGATCATTAGTATGTTCTCGATATTATATTGACGACGGTTTGTGATTCTAGGTCTAGTCGACGGATCCTTTGTCAGTTTTTGGCCCCCATAGAAGGCGGCTGTCGATTTGCAAATGAATCATGCACCATAGAGTATCGGAGGATTTCCTTTTGGCTGGAGGAATTTCGCTCGTCCGTCCCTGTCAGTACCAGCCAGATTGTCCGCAAATGCTCGCCTACAATTTCGAGCATCCAGGACCAACGTAGTCAAGCCTCTTATGCCATTCATAGAAAGGATACTAGCACACCATTCCATTATCACTCGTTTTCAGCACCGGCCTCGACAATTGCGTTCACTCCATACGGATTCACAAACGACGCTTCGTCACATTCGTATCGAATGATATCAATATCGATCTCTCTAACGTGTATATACGCATAAAAAGCATAGGAATATTAAATGAACGATACCACTTACGATTTTAGGTGAAGTCGCCAGTCCTGAAGTCCTCCAATAGAAGGTGCCTTAACTTGGAGAACCTATCTCCCCCGATAATCCCTACACATATGTCTTGCGAAAACATTGATCGGATAACATGGCAGGGGGACATCCCAAAGTTAGGCCGCGGGATATCACTAGGGGACGATACGGTGCGAGATGGAACAAGACGCTGAATGACACTCGACGTGTTGTTTAGACCATTGATCATTGCTGGAGGCAACATTTAGAATCCTTTCGTATTCGGATGGACTAGAAGTATAGAAGAGCTTGTACTCTGGCAGAATTCGAGTTTATAAAAGCGCGTTCATATTGGTGAGAAATGAGATGCATTAGAGAATGAACTACGAGTACAGCAGCTACTGAGGACTGTCGAAACACGCCTACCGGTCTCGTTTCACCACGTCCAAATAAACCCAAGCCGCACCTATATGCGCCTACAGTGCAATCGCAATCGAACCTCGGGTCCAGATATCGAGAAAACCGGAGATGCACCGGAAATGACGTCGCCGGAACTGTAAAATGGCGAAGACAGAAGGTCGGAATGAGGTAGTTTGCAAGTAGAAATCGAACTAATCGAGCGACCAAGATCCTGAGACCCTAAAGTCGAAAATCAGTGCAACCTCCGCCAAAATTACCTTCTCAGCAGCTTGTTTTCGCCCTGGAAACGTGGAACCGAGTGGTCTGAGGAGGCTTGCTTTGTCCTGAAGGTTGATACTTTTGAAACCAAGTCCGCATAAACTTCCATGGCAAGTGACGCCCCAACTGCACAAACCAACCCAAACGGACAAGGTGGGATAATTGAACGAGTATTTGAGATGTCCTCAGCTGATTGTCGTGAGATGTAGTCGTCCAGTCGTCTCCGCAAGGGTCTTCAGGCCATGCAGGTACGCCAAAAATTCCAAAATAAATCGCAACAATCCCAGACTGCTAATATTGAACTGTTTTTTGAAAGCTGGAGCTGGATTGATACAGACACAAGCCCAAAATGCTACCCGTTCCCATGGCCAATGTCCCCACACT